ATTTTTATTCTATCTATATTTCAGCAAATCCAAGCACAAACGATTATTGTTATTCATCCAGGCTCTATGTACCTTCGTATGGGCCGTGCCTGTGATCTGAAGCCCATTACGTTACTACACGCCATAGCAAGAAGACGTTTACCAAATGGAGCAACATACAAAGATAGTCTCTTGCCTCCAACTGTGACACTAGTAAGTACTGGAATAAATGTGCAATAAAATCATATTATCATGTTTCTATCTGTCATTATCTTTGGCAGACAAAGGAGTTAACACAAGCAATGGAAGAATCTCGGCTGCAAGTATCTCATACTCTTCAGTCCTGTTTACAGTCGGATGGAAGTCGAAGATATGCGACACCTCCGCAGCAAATAGCAGCTTTCAATCGTAGATCTAGCCCAGAAATCTCTTCACCCAGCAACATGAAATGGACAATCACTGATAGTAATATAGTTATCGGTGATGATATCTTATCATTAGATCCAGAGGAAGAATGCAATTTTAATATCCATTTTCCATATAGAAGAGGAGAGCTTAATATACATTCAGGCATAGGTGGTAGCATAACAGCTGTCATGGCAGACTTAAAAATCATCTGGGAATATGTATTGACTGAGAAGTTAGATATCCCTCTTAGAGACTTAAAGCACTATCGTGCAGTACTTGTTATACCTGATATTTATCATCGACCATATCTGAAGGAATTGATCACTCTGTTATTGGATGAGATTGGTTTTGGACGCTGTATTCTATTGCAAGTTAGTTGATATCCATAATACATTATGTACTCTCCTGGAAAAATTCTCGTCTTTTTTTATGAAATATTTTACTTGTATAATTATTTGGAATTCAAAAACCTTCTTTTTCAAATATCTTTTCATTACTGATAGGATCACGTAGGTGCGATGTTTGGAGCAGGTTTGGGTTATGCGTGTATAGTAGATGTTGGGGCTCAGAAGATATCAGTATCCTGTGTAGAGGACGCAATTTCTCATAAAGATACACGAGTGCGTATGGATTACGGTGGGGCAGATGTTACGCAGACATTTCTCTGGCTTTTACAAAAGTCCGCATTTCCGTACAAATCATGCGATTCTACTAACAAGTTGGATGCACTACTCTTAGAGCAACTGAAGATAGATTTTTGTCATGTAGATTTAAATGTGTGTGGCTCACAGGAGAAAACGTTTGTTGTCAGAAAACCAAAACAACAAACGGAAACATACACTATGCAGGTATTGCCTTTTTAAAATTTATTCTTTAAAAAAGAATTATTTTTTATGGTATTGAGATTAGTACATTGAAATTTGTTGGCATTGAACAGGTTGGCGATGAATGTTTAATAGCGCCTTTAAGTCTATTTCAACCTGAACTGTTCAGAATTACCGGAACGCATAACGTTCATGTTCAGAAACGATCATTAGGAGATCCAGAAGATCCTTATGACGAAAACTATTTAAGAGAAACAAGTGTAAGTAATTGCTTTGTGTTTTTCAAATTCCTAATTGATGTTTCCATTTTAACATATCCAAGTTTGATTCAATTGCTCTCGATTTTAGAGACGTGGCATGAAAGAAACTCTGGATCATTCGTCGGAAATGCAAGAGGAGGCGGCGGCTGCACCTGCAGTCGTGGGAGACGATGAAGTTGTAGTTGACGCTGGTGATCCTGCACCTAGTTTGTTAAAAAGTGATTTGGACGCTCCTCGAGATTTCGTAATCCCGCAACAACTATTGGGTCTTGATCAAGCGATTTTGCAGAGTATCGAGCGATGTTGTGAGCATAAACATATTTATCAGATACCTATAACTATAAATAAAAATATATACAGTTAGTCTAATTTCTTTATAATAGCCAATGAAGATCTCAAAAGAAAAATGTATAGTTGTGTGCTAGTCGTTGGATCAGGTTTGAAATTTAAAGGTATCGGTATGTGGCTTCGTAATCGAATATCTCTTCAAACTCCTTACATGTATAGGCCTGGTAAGTATTTCCTTCAAGACTCGTAGTAAATCAATTGCAGTAACTTAAACTAAACCGTTAAATAAATTACTTAATTAGATAAAGAAATGTCAAATGCAATCAAAGCTATATCTTGATGCCTCAATACTTCTATGTGAATTTTTAAATATAATATATTTTCTAGTATTTCCGAAAAAGAAGTTAATATAATAATATCACATTAAATTGATTATCAATAATAATGCTAATCGTAAGCTAATAAGTATCGTAAAAATACTGCAAAGAAATGTTGTGATTAATATGTATTCTCCAGCTTTAATTTCAAGATTTAGCCTCAATTGTATTTGGCATTTTTTTTACTTATTAATTTATTCAATTAATTGTAGTTTGCTTACGACGAATGAAACATATTTTTTACACGCTGCTTGATTTTTCTTGCAGAACAACTGGATATTATAACACAGCCGAAAGATATGGATCCCGGTATGACAACGTGGAAAGGAGCAGGGATTTTAAGCTGTTTGGAATCAGCACAAGAATTGTGGATCACTCGAAACGAGTGGCATCGCTGGGGTGTTAGAATATTGAGAGAACGATCCCCTTTCTTATGGTAAAAAATAATTTTCCACAAGATTAAGATTATTTTTTAAGATATTAGCGATAATATATGAACAAATAAGCAGTTTTCTATTTTTTTAATATAGTAAATCTATTATTTTTTTATATTACGCTGTAACACGAGGTTGTTGTACAAAATTATTATTATTAGGTACAGAAACATTTAAAAGATTCAGAATTACCGGATATCATAATATCTCGATCATTCTAATTCTAGTCTTATCATTAGGGTGGTATTGTATTATATCGGCTTCCAGTAGAAAATTTATGTAAGTTAATACGTTAGGCGTGACATCTACATAAACATCATCTCCCCCTTTCATGTAAGCTTTCGTTAATGCCTGTAATCGTAATTTCGTACAATTAATCAACATATAAAAAAAATATAGATGTATAAAGACGATCGTACCGCTAATAAGTTCTTGAAATCATCATTGTTCGGAAAAATTACATCCACCACAGTATGCTGCAAAGAAATTTTTATCTATCAATACTTTATTTCATGTTTTACTTCAATACTATCTAAGATTTATAATTATATATATAGACATTTGTTTTATAATTATATATATAGACATTAGTTTTATAATTATATATATAGGCATTAGTTTTATATATAGTTTAATGTTCATTCCAACTGTCTTCCTTTTTCTTAATGGAGATAGAAAAAGGGAAGCACAAAACATGAATAATACAGATATTTGACAATATCATTTTACTTTGTAAAAATCAGACATGACAAATATATATTGAACTATAATACAATTATGTCTGCGAGATTATTACAAGAATTTCTAGAATTTCGTCGACGCTTATTGATTGAAAGAAAGTTACAATTTTTACTTATTCGCGTTTGGGAATTGTTTTTACATTCTTATATGTATTTTTCTTAAAAACCAAAACTTGTCATAATAATGACACTATATCAAAAGAAAAATTAACACTTACAATAAAGAATAAAATATCCACAGTTAATCTTAAAGGTCTAAATAGTTTTTAAATGATTCAAGCTAAATTAATGATATATATATATATATATATGACAGCAATTTCATAATGATGTGTGAATAAGGATTTTGTCAACTATTTCAATATACCAATTTCCTTAAATATATATCATTAGCATATATAATTTTCGATTTCCATGAAAAATACATAAAAAAATACAGAAAATAAAATGATCCCCAAACTGCGAAAAAAATTGTTTTTATGCGATTACAGACAAATATTGGAAAAACGAAAAATAATGAAGATAATATACATTTATAATCTGTTTGCGAGAATTTTTAATGAGGCTATACAAAAACAGAAATCCTTGTTGTGACGCTCTCTTTCTCTTTCTTTTTTTTCAAGGATACATAGATACATTCAAGGATCAAAAGAAAAGCTTGTTGTAATTATATTATAGTTCAATGATGACGAGTCATAACTTTTCATACCAAATCATCCTTCATTTCGGAAAATAAATGTTTCACTAAGTTGAATTCTTTCTTGTAAGTTATGTTTGCAAAGGTTTCTGTAATATCCAAATAAACTTCCTCCATTTTATTCAGTCCATTTTTCTTATTTCTCAAACTGCAATAAACAATGATACTAAAGAAACTGATGAAGGTAATGGAACTTGCGTATTACTGTACTTACTATGCAATGTCCTCCTGGATATCAGAAAGTTTTTGCTGTTGATTATCGAAGAGCTTTTGCATGTCGTGAATTTCTGCCTCCAGCTCGATTAACATTTCTGCACGCAAATCAGATGTTCTCAAAATTGGATAATCTTCGGGATCTACTTGTCGAATTTCCTTACGCAAGCTGTCATGCAACTTGTTTTGTTTGATTCTCATGTCGTCCAGCGAACTGGATGATTTTATCGTGAAGACTTCATTGTTCGATAGTTTGTTTATCAAATCTTCAATATTTTTTTCCTGTTCTTTCTTTCTCTCTATTAGCAACTCAAAAGCATCTTTTAACGTATATTCCATATTTTATTTTAAAATATAGATAAAATTCAATGCTGCAAATAACATAAAAAATGTTAATGGGGAACACAGCTTATAATAAAATTTTCAATGAGGTATTTGTAAGTCTAACCTACACAATCACAAAAATTAAAAAAAAATATATATATACTAGTCGAGCGTTTTTTCAAGAAATGAACGAATCTTACAGAAAAAAAATATTTCTCTGCTTCACGAACAGAGATATTAATCGTAGAAGTTTTGTTATTATTGAAACCGCGAAACCTGTTACATCCACAATATAAACAAATGTCTGCTGCACACCTCTACTTGACAGAGTCGAGTTTTAGAACGCACTCCAAGCGCGAAGCATCGGTGCAGTATTTTATCCTTGTTTAACATTCAGTGAACAAGGATAAAATAGTACTTGGATTGATCGAATTTTGGAACGCAATTCTAGGAGCATTCAGTATTGGTGAATTGATGCCTTGGTGGAGCAAAGTAGAATGGAGTAAAGTGAAGTGATGAGACTATCGTTATTTGCTGTTGTTTGTTAAAAATTATCATGCTTTCTCATCATATAAGTAAACTTTTGCGTCGTTCGTATTCACGTGCAATCTCAAATTACCGTGGCTTCGCCTCGACGAACGTTGAAACAGGTATTTATTATTCTATCATGACCAGTTACAATTTTTAGGTTATCTTTTTACTGTGCCGGATAACAAAATTGATGAAAATTGTTGCTGTATAATTGAAATTATGTAATGTAATTATAGCTTCTTCGTTTTATTCTTTTATGTGATAATATATATATATATATATATATATATATATATATATATATATATCACAAGTCATTTATAATTCTTATTTTTTTATTCCTTGCCATTTAAGCTCTACACGTAAACATTTCTAGTATTATTCCGTTATTAATGTAGAGTTATGTATTAAGTTTTATTGTTTCAAATTTATTAAGATAGATTTGTTGATCTTCATGTAATTTTTTACAGATCCAACGGAAAGAGATCCAACACCATTCTTTTTTAATAAAGAAATTCAGGAATGTCTGCAGACATTAACGACACTGGATTATAATAAGGTCTTTCGGACTCGCAAAGATGGACACAAACTAGAACCACCGCAGTTTAAATTCCTGACAGATGAACAACTCGAGGAAGCTAGGAAAGCGGCGGAATGTAGAGCGAAGGAATATTTGCAAATGCCACCAGTAGTAAAACAAAGATTGGAACCGTCTGAGCCGTTATGTGAGGATCCTGCGCTACAGAATCATGATACTGCTAAATACGTCTTTACTGATGTCACATACGGTCTTAAAGATAAACAAAGATCAATAGTAGTTAGAGAACCGGATGGTACATTAAGACACGCTTCTTGGAAAGAACGAGATAGAATGATACAAATCTTTTTACCAAAACCAGAAAGGGAACTACAAAAACCAAAGATGTTTGAAGGCGAATACTTGAAGGTACATACATTGTCTCTAATTTGTATCTAGTATCTTTGCTGAATTTATATATAGATTTAAGATTTCTAAAATATGCCAAAAATTATCTCCTTGTTTTCGGGAGAAATTAAATTATATGCATTTTTATATTTAATTATGTATTTAATTTCTATATATTATTTGTAATTTGTCATAACTGTGAACGTCACTTATATTTCAGCATAATTCAATATATATATATATATATTTATATATTATTTCTATATATGGTTATTTATTAACAAAATAAAAGAGATTTACTTTACAAGTTGATATTCTGTTGATTATAAGTGTTTTATAATAACATATCAGGTGTAGTAAAAAGAAATCCATTATTTTTCCAATAGATGGCTTTAGTAATCTATAAGCCATCTATTGGAAAAATAATGGATTTCTTTTTACTACACCTAATATTTCCACATTAATATATTTTTATAGAATTTGTGTATTTTTTTGTTTCTGAGATAGTAATGAGTTGATGAGGAATCTTAAGAGAAAGAAGGAGAATGCTTGCATGAAGTAAACACTGATGTACTGCCATATTTTTCACAGGATTTGTTAAATCGTAACGAGTACGAGTTCATACTGGACCGCGCATGCACGCAATTTGAGCCGGACGATCTGGATTATCAAGCAGTCACCCAAGAAGTCTACGAACACATAAATGCCGAGAATCATTTCGACGTCTTAAGATCCACGCGTCACTTCGGGCCGATGGTGTTTCATCTAGTGTGGACGAGTAACATCGACAATCTATTGTACGAAATGATCGAAACCAATCGGATCAAGGATGCTGCGCTGCTGATACGTCTATACCATATGGTTCATCCTACAACCAAGTCGGCAGTTGAGCAATGCGAGCACACGGACGATGTGGACTTCATTATGCATTACGTGCACCTCGAATCGCTAAAAAAGAATAAGCTCCAAAAGCTCTTGCAATCGTACAAAGAATTGCAGCGGGAACGTGAAATTGTGGCGGAAGGTATTAAACAGGCCCATGGCATTTCTTCGGAAACGGATAAAACGTAAATATAAATAAATAAATATTTCGTATTCTCTTTTTCGTTGATATAATTAGTAATTATTCTTCCATTTTTTCAATCCATTATCCCAAACGTAGTAATAGTCGATAATAAAAGACTTGAATATGTTAAATATTTTGATCTTATTCCCTAAAAAAAAGTTGCTTACCTCAATGAATTTTATTCTCCCTTAAAAGTGTCGTTTAGAGATTAGAAAAATGAATTAGAAACGTGAATTAAATTGATAAAACAGATAAATTGTGAAGAGACGTTTAACCCTTGAGAACTGGAGTTTCCTAATAAAAGGTCTTTAACCAAAAATTTTTACACTTAAAATAAGATAAATAAATAATCGGGCGAAGAGAAGATTCTGAATAAAAAGTTTAAGCAACGCGAACAAACATAAAATAACTTCATAAATTTTACTTTCTATTAAATTTTCTAATATCATAAGATTCGATTTGTAGGAGATTCTCTCTTGGTATCTGAAGTGTGAATGTAATTTAAAAATGGAAAATGTCAAAAGTATTATAGTAATCTCCATGAAGGAGGATTTAATGTCACAGGGTTCGTAATCAGAATTTAAAAAATCAGTTTGGAAATCAATAATGACTATTTATACTTCACATAACATTGATGAGCTTCAAATAAAACAAAATTGGAAGAAATTAAAAACTCTCTAAAATCGAATCTTATATATAATCAAATATGTTTTTAAAATTCTGTCCACCATATAGAATCCACTATTTTGAATTTTCTATTTTTTATCTCAGATTCGAATAAAGCATCATCAAATTAGCCATAAATTCATAAACCAAGTTTCATGAAACTTGAACAAGCAATTTATGAAGTAAAAAGGGATAAGCCCAAATGGGGTCGCCGATCTACAAAGGATTAATAAGAAAATACAGGTAATTCAGAATCGGAATTCATTTGTTCATTTGTTCTGTCCAATAATTGTCAGTTCTGATCTTCGTCAGGGAAGTGGATTCTTCTTCGAGAGCAGTCCGCTGCTCCTCTTTTATAGGACACCCTATAGAATAAGAGTGAGACTGTGCTGCAGTATGTAATGATTTGCTTTATTCGTTGTTCGTAAGGTTGAATTAATCGATTGGATAACAGACACACGGTGGTCGTCAGGGTAATTCGATGATTATTACTCGATTATTTTATTACGTACGGTAGTACTTACAAACATTTACAAATGTAACAAGTCAATTCGATTTGGCGTACAGGATTCGTCAGAAAACATTACACTAATGACCTTTCGCTAATTCGCGTTTACGGAGAAGAAAACGGAGGAGGGGAGGAAAAAAACGCAAAATCGGACAGCGCACATCTGTCCTGCGAAACGCTTTGTCTTCGCTTCAATTGGGAGGAGAATGGAGATGGGGATCAGTACGGATGAGAATAGGGAGATCGATTGATATCTAGCGATTAAATGTATCCGGTAACGAATATAACGGCTCTACCGATACTCGGAGTATCACCGCGAACGAAAATGCACCGTTCAAAGTAGCTTTATACAAACGCAACGTTACGGTTGTGGCGCCACGCTGTAAGTTACAATCGTGAAACGATATCACAAACCTGATCATTTGCGTAAAAAAAAGGAAGAGAATGAAACATAAAAAAGAACGAGATTTTCGCTTTTTTTTTTAATTTCTCTTTTTTTCGCTTCTATCTTCGTCCTCGCACTGGGGGACTGTCTCGCTTCGTTATAATACTTGATAAGCACTCGCAAATCGTAATGTTCGTTTATCAATCATTATCATTCGCCTTATCTTTAATATACTCTTACTGCGTGTAGGTAATTATTATTTCCCTATAAAGACGTGCTCCGGATTGCGTGTACATGTGTGTTTTTGTGTGTGTATGTGTTCGTATATGTGTGACAGTAAAAAATAAATAGGGTATGCCTTTTCGCCGCGCGTTTCAACCCCCGGACGCGACCAATCGTGTTACTCTGCTTTGCGATAAGCAACTTTCTTCTCGACTGCGAGATAAATATCAATCGATCACGACAATGGAGGTCCACGTCGCTTATTATACTAATATTGCTACCAACAAATCATAAGATTAACGAGCTTCCGATCGCGAGATGCGCTAATACTAATTTCCATTCTCTTTTTTCAGCGAATAGCAAAAGGCGCGAGCACGTATACTAACTATATCGACGCAGTTATCAGTTCGCGATCTTGCTTAGAGACAACATCGCAGCATGCGCATGATCCACTCCTAATGATTCTAATATTCCTAATAACAATTTTTCAATAATTTCCTAATTCTTATGTTCAATAATTTCCTAATTCTTATTTAACTATCAACTAGGTAACTTAACGAAAGGAATCTACGAATTAGAAAACAGTCAAATATAGAACACCGATTCTCATCATTGATTTTATCATTTGACAATCGACAGATTAGAAAATTTTATTCTACAATTTTTCGATAATCGGCAACGTCTTATTCGCTTTGAAGAAGATACGATTCGCTAAGGAATCCAATAAAATGCGCGATCTCTAGGCGATCTGGATCAAAGAAAATCGTCCGTCTGCCGAAGTAAAGTCCGCAAACGCATCCGAGGGTTGATACGAAAGCCTCGTCGAATCGGTCCACGGATGCAGACCGGGTTAACGTAAGGTATGGAAGCGTACAAAATAAATAAATACGTATATACGCGAATGTGTGTCAGCTGTTAGGCCCTTCTCGAGCAAGGTATGCGATACTGCATCGAGCACCAGTGGTCCAAACAACGCAAACAGAAGATATCTCCAAGATATCTCTGAGAGGAGAGCATACCTTTAGATACTTCACTCGGAATCTCGGAGGGATGTATATATAAATATTTGCGTTGTCCGGAAGGCGCAATGACGAGTTTGTGCGGTATAAGCTGCGATAAAATAGCGCAAAACCGGCGATCGCACTCGAGAAACGATCAAGGTGACGCACGAAGTTCTCGCGATGGATTGTTACATTAAATTCTCATTCCCGATATCAATTACACTTCAATTGTACTTATGTGCGAGCTTCTTAATTAATGGATCATTTCTTCTTCAGTTCGATCGCGTTAAAAACTTAATTGTCAGCGAATATTAGTATGACAATTATTAGCATTCCTCACAGAAATTTACTGCTGGAAGGAAGTGATTAATTACTTTTTTCCTAGTAGATATTAAAAGCATTATTCAGTGTTTTTAATATTCAAAATAAATAATTAATCACTACTTTTAATATTAAATTGGTAGTGATTAATTATTTATTCTGAGTATTAAAAGCACCGGATAATAGTGCTTTTAATACTCTACTCAAAATAAGTAATTAATCACTGTCTTTCAATTTTAAATTGAATTTCTGTAAGGAATAACAGTTCGATAATGAAACTTCGATTCGCCACTTTGATCGCAAAACGCTCGATCCTTCGGCAATCGCGATAATGGAGAGACGATGAAGCTCGATGACTCGACGATTGTCATCTGATAGTGGGGCGCAAGGTAATAATTAGCTAATGATTGTGATCTAAATAATCCGACGCGGGATGCATGTTGCACGGCGTCAGTTGCGAGATGTATGTAGCGGAGCTGCGTTCGGGTTGGCAAATATTGAGCAATATCCTTCCTTACGCACACCTTTGGCCGCCGGAAAAGTTCGCCGGCAGGTCTATCACGCGTCTTGCCGTCTCTCGATCATTATCAACCAGTTGTTTCGAATCAATTATACCGACACTGATTCCACTAATTCCATTAATTCACGCTAATTCCGAATCAATTAATTGTCTCTCTCTTTTTCTTTCTTTCAATCTATAAATCATTACTGTAAAGATTTAATAAAAAATAGTTACCATTAGAAGACTTCAGAAATGATGGACTTTAAATAAAAACATTTTTCGACAAAGTTGAAAAAGTAAATGTGAAGTAAAAATTGCAGACTCATTTTCTTCATTATGTGTATTTTTCTTCTTCTAGATTTTTCTCTGATTTTATTATCTACAAGAGAATTGTTCAACTCTAATGATTTTTAAAATAATGGTCCTGCATATCGAAATAGAAATAAAATTGAGAATCTGGAGAGAGATAGTGATTCGTCAGATTGATGATTCGATCTAAGGAATTTGTTCCTTGCATCTTATTACCGCTTTCCTGGTCCCTTCTGGATCTTTTTATCGATCATCTCGTATTGTGTCAGCTTCTCACTTCCACTGTATCCGTGTCCTTTCGTACTCTTTCGTACCTCCTGAATAAATCGCGTATTTCTCGCTAGTGTCATCCGTAAATTCCTTATCAGTAATGAGAATAACGTCGATCGCCTATCGCTACGCATCTTGTATATAATAAATAGATATATAATATATATTGTATATAATATATATTATATATATGCATATTATATATATTCATGTAAATGTGGCTGGATGCGTGTATATTTTATACACATACGGTAGACAGTTGCTCTAATAAGTTTTTTCTGATAAAAGTCACGTCTGCAGTGCACGTTAGGACCGTCGTCGTGTACAAAACGCGTTTCTATACGTGTCACTTCGTCGACATCCGAAAAAAGAAATCGTTCTGCAGCTTTGTGTGCGGCGTGTATATGTGTACGACTGCAGAGTTATATATTTCATGTATATGAAATATACAATTTTATGTATATTATGTACTTAGCTCTACCTACCTATATCTCCACTTACGTGTATATATTCATATAAATCTCCTTCCCATCCGCGCGTAGTGTAGCGCGTTGTATGTATATATTTATATATATAATACGTATGTATATATGTATAATATTTATATACGATGATCACCTACGTAGAACCTTACGCTCGCCCTACTACGATGAAGAAAGAACGAATAGCCGGATAATTACGGGTGTATAATTATCTTAGAAAAAAGTACGCGAGTACTGCGTTTCCTCTTTTGTTCTAGTATTTGGCACACAGACGTTGCGAGGTACGAATGCGTGGACCCCAAGTAACAAGCTGACGTCATTTTTCTAATGTCTAATGTCGTCAAAATGACGACAAATAACATCAGCTTGTTACCTGGGACTAGAATTCTAGAAAATCAGAGAAATGACATCGAGTCGATTAATTTAATTAGTTCGCTGCTATCATAGTTCTTTATGGGCACCCAATATGGATACTGATTGGCTTTATAAATCACATAATCACAGTGCCATTTTAGTTCCTTATTATGATAGCCAATCAGACTATAATACTCTTTAGCAGATAACAGATTATACCCTTCTTATGTCACATTTCTGATTTTTTAGGACTCTACCTAGGACGTATACGAGCCAAAGTCGAGAACTCAGCACGTTTCTGAGATCAAAGTTGAGGGGGATTAAAGATTGAGAGACCGATGGCAAGACGCGAGAACCGGGGTGTAGCCCGCCTGCCCGCCTTGAACATGCTACGTGATGCGAGATTCGCGTCGCGTTTCTATTTCTTCTTTTCTTCTTCTCGTTTTCTAGTTTGGACGTCGACGCGACTTCGTCGCGCGTCCGCGTATCGAAAGGTTTCCTCGCGCCGCGCGTTCTTTTTTTTTTCAATCATTAATACTATATTTAATCATAACGATTAGTGCGGTATTATTACTCGCGTCTCTAGCGCTGAATCCCTACGCTGTACTCTAACTTTCCAAGAGACGCTCCAAGCGCCCGTGTACGGCGACATCCTCGTCGTTCAGAATATCGGAAGCAGCAATCTTCCTCCACCTTCCGTTCTTCTTGTTCTTCGGTTCGCATTCCTTCTTGTCCGCCAGCCAATTTGGTCTTCTTAATTCTAGCAATTCCTTGTTGTCGAACTCGAACCCCAATCTTCTCCGACGGTTTCGTATTTCGTTCCCTTCTTCTTACTCGTCTCATTTAACGGACAATCTGCCTGGGGACTGTTGTCCGAGGATCAAGGACCACGTGGTAGCAGTCTTGCGATCACGCCAGCCGTGTTAACTCGCTAGCGCGATTTCAGTGGCAATCTTGACGGTCGAGCAGCCGATCAGCGAGCGGCTTCTCGGTCACAGAATGTCCGTCTCATAAACCTTGCTGGTGGTCGTGGTGGACGTAGTGGTGACGGTGGTGGCTGATCCTGTGGTTGTGCTCGATACCACCGTTGTGGATGTGGTACCAGAGACCTGGCCGTTGGTCGACGCCGTCCCGGTCGTTGGAATCGTTTGTCCGTTGATGATCTCGATCTTGGCTACTTGATTACCACCGTCGATTGTAATCTCCTGCGAGATTTGAGGCTTAATGCTGAGGCTGGTGAGGGATCCGGAACTTGCCGTACTCAGGCCGAGACCCATCTTCGCCAGGAGATTACTCTCGGAACCAGTCTTCTTTAGGAGATCAGGCGGTGCTGGCGGTACGGTGGTGAGACCGGCCGCGTTCCTTTGCAATTGCTGTAGCCGGGCGTACTGCTCCTGCAGAGCCTTCTGCTTCCTGAGGAGCTCCTGATGTCGTTGCTCCAGTTGTTCCTGGCGGCCGCGCTTGCTTTGCAGCCCTTCCTGCGAATTAACGCTCTCACAGGAGCTGGAGTTACTGGTTGACAACACCGCGGAAGATTGCGAGGACGACGAATTATGCGGCCCGACGCCTGGCGCGGTTGGCGCCAACGAGGACGCGGCGACTTGGTCCACGGTGGACAGGATTGCGTTCGGTGGTAGAGCCATCGGCGGCTTACCCTCCTTGCCGACGAGACTGTTGTTGCGCGAGGGTCGGCGCAAGGTCGCGTTGCCGCTCTGCAGATTGCACGGATGATTTCTGGGCGGCAACTGCGGGCTGGTAGGGCTTGCCAGGGGCGATCGGGAACTGGTGCGCGGCGGTGGTGGCGGCGGTACCCTTCTGGCGGTCGCCAGCTGCAGCAGCTCGGCGTTCCGTTCCGGTACTGGCGGCTTCTGTCCAGGCAGAAAGTTCTGTGGTAGCACCGGCATGCCTGGCTGTGTTTGCTGCTGTTGTTGCTGCAACACCTGTTGGTCCAACGACAGCGCCTGCAGCCCGGCGATAGGCGGGGGAGGGGCGGGG